TGATCTGGGCGTGCCCAATCATGTCATGCATATAAACTTTCTTTTGGAGACCTGACCTGAAACCTAACCATGTAAGGTGTTAGAACTGTCATGCCAAATTGAAGTCCTGTATTCCAGCAATTTAATTGGAAGCATTGCCTGCTCATCATGAAAGATAGTTATGACTCTCTGATTGCTCATATAGATTTTGTGCTGTGAGTATGTAATGGATTGGCTCATTTGTAGGATTGGCGGTGAACTACCTGATGGGTTTACCAGTTTAGTTTGTTCTGGACAATTTGCGTCATTCTATGTAATATCTTAGAAAAAAGTTCTTTAAAAAAATATGCCCAAAAAAAAAGAATAATATTTGCTAACAGCCTCTATACTGTTTATCTGCTGCAATCATAAATCAATTTTGAGAGCCATCTTGACAAGATGTTTTTGGTACTGCCCGTCTGCATTTGTTCAAGCTTCTAATGACTACTCCAGTACACTTATCTTCAAGTATGCATATATAGTAGAAATGTAGATATCATAATGTTGCCCCTTTACTGAAATAAAAATTCGCAACTTTCAAGAACTCAAATTCATTGGATTATTCAAATCTTAAACTTGGATGTGATGTTTTATCTGTCACATGACGTTCAACCATTTATTAAATATTTACTTTCAGTGTTAGGCCAAATTTAAATCTTTTGTCCAGTCTTATACCATAATATGAAATGGGATTAAGGGAGTATTAATAATTGTTCCACATTTGCCTGGTGTTCAACACAGGTGAAAGGCTGTGGAGGAGCTTCTTGTGACTCATTCTTTTCATCACCCATTCAAGGATATTTGTTTGGTGCACTCTCTGCTTGTCTTTCAGCACTAGCTGGTGTTTATACTGAGTTCTTAATGAAGAAGAATAATGACAGCCTGTACTGGCAGAATGTCCAATTATACACGTGAGTTCCTCCTGACCAAGAGATTTACATTGGTTCCGTTATTGAATGCAATTGAGCTTTTTCTCTCCTACATATGTTAAAACTCCAAAGTGGAAGACAGTTTCATAGGACCGTAAGGGAGAAGATTTTGTTAGTCTTCAAATACTGACTTGAACCCTGTCATGTGATCAAACTCCATTCTAGTGGTCCATACCCATGAAATTGATCTGTTAAATTGAAATAGTGCATTGGACTTACAGATTTGGCTCAATATTCAACATGGGACGACTTCTTATGGATGATTTTAGAAGTGGGTTTGAGGAAGGACCATGGTGGCAGCGCATTTTCAATGGATACAACATGACTACATGGTTGGTAGTGTTGAATCTTGGAACCACTGGCCTTCTGGTTTCATGGTTGATGAAGTATGCAGACAATATTGTAAAGGTATCTTATCTTCCTGAATTAGATGCATTGGCTTTCTGTTCTGTTCGTAAACAATTTTGATCACCTTTAGTATGTTTGTTATGAACTGTACGTATCGTAGAAGTACTATTTAATTCCCCTTGATTTTCATGGCGATTGTCTCTCTTCTTGTACTTTTAGAGTTACAAAACCTACCAAATAACTTGAAAGAATTTATAGATTCCTAATTGTGATTCTCAAGTGAATTATCCAGGGGATGAGAAAGCTGAGGAGTTATTTTGAATGGCATCTCTGCTTAGAAATTGAGAGAGGCTAAGGGAAAGGGGTGGTGGCAGGACATGTTTGTAGCTTCTCAATGAGAAGGAACTTTTTAAGGGGACGAAGGCAATGGCTAGACTGTTTAGGAAAAAGAAGACTAGGGTCAGAGCTAACGACATCTCATTATGTTGACTCCTCCACTATTGCTATACTATATATCTCATTTTGTCGACTTCTCCACTATTTCAAAAAATACTGCATTGTTGACTCCACTGTTGCTATAGTTTAAACCTTAACCCAGTGTTTTCTGTTAGATACTTTATGATCAATCTGGCTTGGACTTAATGTGTATGTGGTGGATTTACTGTATATGGAAAACTTAAATGAGCTGTTTTAAGTTGGACTTATCTCATCTAGCACCAGATTTCATTGATTTATGTCTTTAGTCATTTGACTCTTATTTTTGTGATTTGTTCATCTTCTGGAAGGATCACGCAATTGTTTGGATCCATCCAAGCACGGGATCAGCCAAAAACAAGAATATAAAGGGCTCATGTAGTTGGACGCCTTCGTGAATGGAAGTGAAATTTATATCCAGATACAATTTCAACTTCAAATACTCTTTTTCAACTTTGACTTCAAAAATTCTTGTTTTTCAACTTCGTCCAAAATATTGTCCAATAACGCCTACGAAATCCTTTAGTTGAAATCTCAATATACATTTCAATCTTTTTTGGCTCAATAACCAAACCATAGGAATTAGTTTTGTGTATTTTGGATAGAAGTGGAGGAGAAATTTAGGGCATCCACCTGTGCTGTATTTGTAATTATTCTGGTATTACATTTATACTAATTGGTTCAAAGTTCTTCAGCAATGCAATCCATTAATTATATTCTCATTCCCACTCATTTAGCTTCTACATAGAACATCACATTACCATACTAGTTATCAGTAAGGCTTGTTGCATGACCATATAGCTAGTCAATTGGAGTGTTGTCATTGATGTTATTGTTGCTTAAAGTAAGAAGCAAAGTAGCAGTCTAGTGCCCTATCTGGTATTAAAGTGAAGTTTCAGTTTGATGTAGTCAAAAGTTACAGAATCACGTTAAGATCATACACAAATTTTCTCTGAGTGTAATAGCCGAACTGTGTGATGTCTTATTTTATTGAGAATTTTGTTTATTTTCCTCTCTGTTGAATGGTTGCTCCTTTGCTCTTCCTTTTGTTTCTCTATCTGAATAATCAGATTGTTACCTTTTCTTTTTCAGGTGTATGCCACCTCTATGGCAATGCTCTTGACGATGGTGTTATCAGTGATACTCTTCAACTTCAAGCCAACAGTACAGGTAAAGATGCAGAGAGCTGTTCCTAATTTGCACGGTTTTGTTATTTGCCTTTATATTTCATAAACATGTCTTTACTGTGTCATTGTCAGTTTCTTCCTGGTGTTTATTCTTTGCTTAATTTGTCTATTTGCAGCTCTTTTTGGGTATCATTATCTGCATGATGTCCTTACATATGTATTTTGCTCCTCCAAGCACACTAGTGGATTTGCCTTTGACAGTAAAACCGGTTTCTGAGAGTGTATCTGAAGTTCCTGCTGAACGAAAAACAGATTCCTGATGTACAAAATACTGCCACCAGTTTTTTTCCTTTGATTTGTGCAAAATCTTTACAAGTTTGAGGCTCAGCTAATGCAAATGGTGAAGGGTTGGTTTCATGACCATCACTTGGATTCCAGGAAATCAAGATAACATGATTCAAGAGTAGAGTTTAGAAGCTTTCTGATGATAGGAGCTTCTTCCCGCCCTGGTAATGAACATGATAGTAGGACGAGCACTGTCAATCATTGATGTCTTCATTTTTTTTAACCAAAACTAGTACAAACTTAATGGCACAGTAAAAACACACGGAATCAAGAAAACACAAGCAAAGACAAAGATGAGGATTACATAACTTCTGTTGTGTTCTGTAATGATTCATATCCAAAGCAGTAGTGTAGGTACATAAAACTTTTGAGTGGAACGAGTTGCATGAGAAACAGCAGATCTTTGTTGTGCTAGAATATCTTGTATGAACATATAGCTTAGTTATTTACCTGTTTCATGGTTATTGTAACTCTTTGATCACCAGGTTGGAACATCTACAAGTCATTCACTGAAAGACAGAAGCTACATTGTTAATACATTTTCGATGGATTATCATTTCAGTTTGAATCCCAAAAAAATAGGTTCAATAGTAGTGTCATATAGGAAAAAATCATAAATCTTTTTTATTAAATGATATCATTTTGAAATCGTAGTTTAGTAAAAAGTATAGTTGTAAGAAATTAAAATTAAAACTCTAATTTGGCTCTTGGGAACACAGAGAGTTTAAACGAATAGCAGCCACAATTTAGTGAACAGGTAAATCTATCATTCAACGAATTAATTGCAGTACTTTAGTTATGGATTTTGTGGTGTCTAGCATTTGACAGAACATCTACTTTTCTTCCTACCATTCAATATGTGCAATTATTTGTAAGCGTTAGCCCACCTACACTGTATCATTCATTATAAAGTCTTCCTGTATTGATTTCAAACATTAAAGTTGATCATTTCTAAGAGACAATTATTAAAAACCAACATTTTTAATAATTGCAAAGAAGAAATTAAGTAGATATTTTTCTTACTACAGGAGTTCTAGTGAAAATTCTGGTCATTATTTTTCGAAATTTGTTATTCACTTATCTAATCCCTTTGAACCTAAGTGAAATTATAATCCATAAAAATAGTCTACAGCTCAGCTTTTTCTTTTTTCCACAGGATTACAAATCAAAGAAGAAAATTTCAATCTGACTTCACTTGAACATCATTGAATGGAAATTTTAAATTTGGTAAATTTTGATCCCAAGAGCAATCCTGAAATAAAGCAATTTATGTCCCATCAAGAAACAATTTTCTAGTGATAGGTGTACTATCTTGGCTAAAAAACAATCCAGGAAGTTACAAGTGTGTTTGTAGTCAACAATTATCTCTAATACTTACACTTAACCTACCATCTATCAATAATTAAAGTTTTCCTATTCTCTATCAACTAGACCAAACCGAAGTTGGAATTTCTATTTTTTTTTTAAAAGAACCATGTTTTCACCTAATTCAAATTTGTGTCGCGTAATGTCCATTAAAGGAGAAAACGTTCCTTACACACACACAAAAAAATAAATAATCAAACTCGAGACTCTAGTAAAACTGAAATAATCATCTTCATTCCACCACAACTCTGGATAATATGTTTGCGCTTATTTATTAGTATTATTATTAATAAAAAAGTTGTAAATTAAAAATAAATGAGAAATGAAAAAAAGAAAACTTTATTTGTTTCCTCTATAAATACCTTAGTGTGCCACACTATTTTTCTCCACACCACCACAAAGTTTCCAATAAAAATGAGCGGAGGTGGAATGGAGTCTATGGCACGGCCAACTCCACCGGAAGATGGCGGTGGAATAAACAGCCAGCACGGCGGAGAACGGTGTGGGTATGGGTTCCATATGCCATTGCATTACCCAAGATACACACGAGCTGAATATGAAACAATGCCAGAATGGAAAGTGGATTGTTTACTTACTCAATATGGACTTCCTAGTAATGGAGATGTTAATCAAAAGAGAAAATTTGCTATGGGAGCTTTTCTTTGGACCTGTTAATTAAATCTCTTTTTTCTCTATATAAGTTTAAATCGGTTTGTTGCGTGCGTGTATATAGAAGTTGAATTTTTTTTTTTGTAAAATAGGTTGATCATGTTTTCGTTTCTAGAGAACTACTATAATTTTGTTATCAATATGAATTTCTATGTATAATCAACTTAATTATATTTACGCTTTACCCATTTTTCTTAATTAGTGCTAATAACATCCAAAATCAGTGATCGATCCTCACAACCTTGAACCTTCCTTTTTATTTTTTTATACTTCCTCCTTTCACTTTTATCTGTCATTTTTAATTTATCAAAAAATATATGTTTTAGCCTGCATTAATCACTTAATTTTCAAATTATTTTTCAAAATTTAATACTAACCAACAATTAATATGGATAGTATGATAAAGTTTTCATATTAATCATTAGTAACGTCCAAATATGACTAGTAAAAATGAACGGAGGCGGGAGGGAGTAGAAAGTGAAATTAATTTTTATATATTATTGTTGTATCTAGGATACAAATTTAAATACTGATATTCTTTGAGGAAAAGTCCATTTAATCATATTTTGATGCATTTCTAACTAGAAAAAATTATCCAAAAGTTTTCCTTTACATCAAAATTTTGAACAAATGATTCAGTAGTTGTTACGAGAGGAACATCAAAATAGTTATTGTTTAGCTGGGTTTTCCCTATTCAATTAAGTAAAATTCTCTTAGTTGTTAATTTATAAACTTTAACATCACTTAAGGATTAAATTGAATTCCGAATTTAGTTTGTTGGGAAGTTTATGATTGTTGGAGCGCTTGCAATTAAAAAATATTACGAGAAAAAATTATACAAAATGGATGTAGGAAACCTTATATCTTTCCTGAATCCTGACGTGAAAGATATATTGAAGAAAAATACTATCGTATATTCCAAGTTGGATAGAAAATGAAGGAAATGGACCAGACCCCCATTTACTCATGAAGCCCATCTGCCTATGTAACTCAATGGCTTCATGGACCCTTTACTCTTTCTTTCATACTTGGGCCTAGTCTACCCAAATTAATCGAGAAAATAGCGCGATAAGATTAATGGATCCGGTGACGTTGAATTCATCAAATAAAAATTCTGAATTTATATTTGTCTCGTAGTTGAGAAATCGAATTATTTTATTATCCAATATAGAAATGTTAGTCGTAATTTGCATGTGGAATTTCCCTATCCAAAGTATTCTTGCTTCCCCACCTTCTGCGTCATGGGCCTCTTTCTCTCAATTGCACAACAACTTGTCTCCATGAATCGATAAAAATCTTTCACTTAGCAAATAAATATAATTATTTATTTTTATTAATCGATCAAATGTGTAACGTAAACTTGGGCTAGATAACTTTTAGTGTCTTGATAACAGCTAGATAATTACTCACATAGATACATTAACAATTCAAATTCAAATTACGTGGTTGTTAATAATTGAGGTGTCAAAAGGGACAGATAATCTAAAGTCCAGCTCCATTTAAAATTTAAATTGATAACTATTTGAACAACTAATATAAAATTTTAAAATCTTTTATTTATTATATTTATGTAGAAATACTTATCTATTAATTCTGATTAATTAAATAAGCTGATGTTAGATGGGGAAAAAAAAGTTGAATAAAAAGGAGGTGGCACATGGGTTTGCAAACAAAAAAGTTTGATAGACCCCACAATATGGCTGGTTCCTCACTATCTCTATGCTCACTTCTTATAAAATAAAAATAAATTTCTATTTATAGATAGTATGAAAAATATTTATAAAATTGGGTCATTTATAAGATAATTACAAGTAATTTTTATAATATGGATTAACTTAATATCTATAAAAGCAGTTATCTTGCTATAATAATTACATTCTTTTATACTACTATTCTATTTCGATTTATTTTTACTTTTTCAATATTAACTTGACACATTCCTTAGGAAGCAACGTATATAATGACAATTTTACTATATTATAATAAATTCAATGACTATATTTAATAAGAGTAAATTACGAATTAAGTGGCATATTATACGTTGATTTTCTAGATTGGACAAGTAAATCTGGATGGATGGAGTAATATACATAACTTGAATTTTTAATAAAACAAAAACAAAAAGAATAAAAAATCCTACAAACTAACTATATAAACCTCCACAAGTGTGAGCCAGCATTTATCAGTTGTTTGTTTGCAAGATAATTTCATTTTTTTTCTCTCTTGAGTAAGAAAAGGTGGGGGGAGATTAGTTATACTTATGGCTTTTGTAGTTTCAATGTTGTTGGCTATCTTTGCCATGGCTTTTTTCACTGTTCAAGCTCAAGAATTTGCTCCTGCTCCTGCCCCTACTAGTGATGGTTTGTTCTCTATCCCCACCTTTCTCTTTTCGTTCGATCGATTTCTATTTTTTGAATTTCTTTTACGCTGTCTATGTATATAATTTAAATCCTTTGGAGTAATATATGTGGTGATGGTAATTTGCAGGAATATCTGTAGATCAAGGGATTGCATATGTGTTGATGCTGGTGGCTTTAGTTCTAACTTATCTCATTCACCCTATGGATGCTTCTTCCTACAACTTCTTCTAAATTTAGTGTCAGTTATAACCTTTAAATTATGTTACTTTTTTGGGAAAATGGTTGTAATCATTCTTCATATGGATTTAATTGGTTAATCCATTCATGTTTAATTTAATTTCTAGTAAATGGTTATATATTTAGTTGTCTTTTTCTCATTTCTCCTATTGTCAATATTTCAAGTGTTCTTTTGAGATGTGAAAGAAATGCATCATAACACACTAATTAATACAACTAAAAGAACATACGAACTCAAGAGAAATGGAAGTGAGAAGAAAATGAGAAGCCACTTAAGAGTAGCAATCTATTGCTTTTTCACGAGAGAATCCTTTGGAAACGATGTTTCTACCTTCACGAAGGTAAGGATAAGGATTGCGTACACTCTATCCTCCCTACATCCCACTTGTGAAATTTCACCGGGTATGTTGTGTCGCACGTCTCATTTTGTGCACTAGTGTAACGCATCTCCTTGAGTTTTTGCAAGCAACCCCAAGTACATTCTCCCTCCAGGAAGTTTCCTACGACTGATTTTATATCCTACTTCCACTCAACACATATTCCTAGTTTATTGTGTTTACTGTCTCAAGTTTCTGAAATACACAAAGAGTACAGTACAGTTGCTTTATTCTTTTTATCAATCTGTATGTACGACAATAGTTACTGTCGTAGGACAATGGTTTTGAATTTACAAAGGCATAACTGGCTGCCTATTTATTAATCAGACATACAGCGTCATCACTAGAGAAACTTCTCCACTAGCTTGATTAGCCTCACTGGCAAAATTGGCCAAGAAGGAAGTACCCTGTGATGAGCCAAATTGCTGCAACTGTCGGGTCTTCAGGAGATTACATTTCATCGAATATCATCCATTAGATCTTCAGCTTCTTATTGGTAGAAATTATGCTAGTATCACTAGCCTCATTGGTTTGGAAGATAGATCACAATGCTATAGATCAGCACCTTCGCTCTGCCGATGCATATGCCTATGGCTCAAACAATATTTTACCACCTCGTAGAAGGAAACAACAATCCCAACTGAAGGTCCAGCTCGGGCAACTCGAGGGCCAACTCCAGCGAAGAACCCCTTAAATCCCCCATCCCTGGTTCATGAGAACAATAATTAGCACAGGACACAGCACCAAAGAACTATAAGAAAATGGTCTACAAACTTTTTAAACACTTAGTTTGAACAAATAGCAAGATGCTGGTTTCAGGGAGACACAAGGGTATTCCAAGGTCCATCTTGTACTTTAGACTTTGCTAGAAATGGCCAAGTGTGAAAGGAGTTCGAGAATCAGTTTACTTTCTATAAGGGCTAAAATCACTTATTTTGGCTTTTTTTATCAAATGGAACAACTGTGTGTATCTGCGCTATGCATTATTTTTATTCATTTAGAACCTATTAAGCACCCAGATAAAATAGAATTATTTTCTCAGCAGCATGAATGAATCACTGTCTTACAATAAAAGAATAAATCGAGACAGACAAGATGACGAAACAGATACTCCAGAACATCCAGTTGATCAATTGGATTCATCATTCTCAAATGGAAAGCAAGGAAGACAAGGAGCTACTTCGTCTCCGCTGGATCTGTTTCTGGGAGTAAATGGCGAAGTGTTTTATCGGTAAAGTCATTACTTAACGGTACCTCAAACACTTCCAGCGAAATCATCTCTTAGGAATCGAGGCTCCTACAAACATTCCATCCTCAATTTTCTTCCCCTCATACCCCTTCCAAAAAGAATACATCATCCATACATCTATCTTATCGTACTTAATTGGAAGAAAAAAAAAACTATCTAATCGGCAATTGGCACACTAAAGAAAAGGATTAGTTTGTGAAAACCAAAATAAATCAATCAACTCATGAGAGCTCATCACTGAGCTACTGTATATCTTTACTCAACTAGATCAAAACATATTGCAGTATCTGAAAAAGATAGGGGGCAGGAAGGGGAGACGGGGTTGCAGCCGAAAATTAAGAAATAAATGAAGTCAAGTACCTCCATATCTCAACCAATGTTTGTCTTGTGGTCATCCTCAGTGCTCGTTCAGGATCATTCTGACATGACAAATGAAAATTTCATTAAAACAACAACAAAAAAGAGGGAAATAATAATAACTAGTGTTTCCAAAGCAAGAAAGTTCATGGGGCTTGAAGTGAAAAAAATGAGAAGTAAAGTCATTCTAGAGAATTGACGTTCCAAATCATAATGCAAAACTACTTAATGGAGGATTCACCGCAAAATACTAACTTGACTCATGATTGTCAAGATTATAGTCTACTTCTCCACATCCACCATGCTTCTTTAAGTTAATAAAAATAACAGACAATCAGGTTCTCGAAAGTTGTAGCCTTGTCCCATGTCCAATTCCAGTGGAAACTCTTACAGCTTGTTTGGATTGTGGTTAAATATTGTTTTATAATGCATCGTATTATATAGTACTATATTGGTTTGATGAATACAATGTTTGGATAGATTATATCGTTTTCCATCGTCACATAATGCCATGCATCACAGTAATCTTAAGGATAAACCTAAAGAAAAGTAGGATACGGGGTAGAGTTTATTATAAAAAAAGATAGGGTAAAAATAAAATACA